CTGAAGGGGCACCACCAGTTGGAGAGACTTGTATACAGTGGTTCAAGCTGAACACTCTATAGCGGCCAGCAGATAACAAAAGCCCTTTTGAATAAATAATCCAATCATAAATTGCTTCGAGCCTTTGCTCAGATGTAGCAAACAGACTGGCCCTTCTATCAAAGAACTGGAAAGACTGACACCAACTAGAGCCCTTGTGGAGAGGTGGGAGGGGACTGATCCCTGGCAGGCTTATTAAAATGTGTTTTTATTGTTTTGACTATCTTTTCCCTATAACACTTGTACCATAAGAATAACTATGCTTGCTTAGAAAGAGTTCGGTGGTAACCTAACTGTAGGTAATTATACTGTTTATAGACTGAGGTAAAAAGCAGAGTAAACGTGCTTAAGCAGTCTGATGTGCAGGGAATTGACAATGAAGGCAGTGAATTGTGCAACCTAGAAACACTTCAGTGAGGAGGGAGAGAGCCTTGTGTCTTCACCAGAGAGGTCATGGCTGGAGAGCTAGAAATCTGAGCATGAGTGCCGTGGATGGACCATGGAGAGGTGCTGTTGCCCTGAATTCTGATACAGTAAAGTCTCGATTATCTGACAAACGGATAACCGGAAATGTCAAATAACACGGACGGCGCTGGCTTGTGGTGGGGTGGGGGCCCAGCGCGCTCTGGCTGAAGGGCGGGAATGGAGCAGCAATGGCAGCAGCGGCGGCAGCTGACAGGAGGGCCTCCCAGGCAGGATCCACTCTTTGTCTCAGTGGTGGTTGGCGTGCATGTTGCCCCCTCCCTGGCAGATTCTGGATGCTGCGTCCTCGTGAGGGGCCGCGTCCTCCCCCTTCCTCTTCCTCCCTCCTCCCCCGGGCTGCCCGGATGTGCCCAAGGCCCCAGCGCTCCTGCCTCTCTTCAGCCTGGTGGCAGCGGCGGCCCCTTCCCTTCCCGCCTCAGCCCAGAGGGGTGGGCCCCTGGATTCCCCCCTTGCTCCAGCCAGGAGCCGGGCTTGCTCCGTATGCGGGCAGCTCCCTCCCTCCTTCGCCCCCTCCAGCCCGCAAAGTTTTGGGAAGGGGAAGTGGGTCCAGGCCAGCTCCAAAAGGTGGGGCCACTAACGCGGCAGGATGGCGAAGATTGGGCCCCAAGCAGGGCACAGGCCCAGCACACCTGAGCACCGGGCGAGCCCACAATGCAGGCACGAGGTGCCTCAGGCATGGGGTAGGGGGTAAGGTTGCTGAGCCCGCGCTGCGTGTGCCGAGCTGAGGGGAGCCCCTGAAGACCTGCCAACCAGAGCTCCTGCCCAGCCCTGGAAAAAGGGAAAGAAGGGCCATTGTGGTGTGAAGCATCCCTGGAGTCCCTTGCCATCACGTGACGGGCAACACCATCGGATAAAACAAAATGTTGGATAAATAAAGGTTGGAAATTCGAGACTCTACTATACCTACAAAACTACCTAAGTCTTATAGAAGCCGTGCAGGGGATCTACATGAATGGTAGGAGGAAACAACAAGTACTCTACTATACTTGCCCACACTGTCACCAAAACACTCTTCATAAACTCTGTGTAGTTCATGGGTTACTTTGAAAAAATGTTCAGAAATAGCATGGAAAAGCAGCTGTACCAGCAATGTTTCTACTGCAGAGTAGCCCAAATTCCAAGGTAAATGGACGTTAATTAATTCTACTCAAAAGAGCATCAACTTCTTCTCTGCATTTTGTGATCTTCCATCAGAGGGGTTACAAATAACAGCCACAGACCAGGTTAACAAAAGTTGATCCAATAGAAGATCTTACTTCACCCACCCAGTATCTCATATATCCTTGGATCAATACTGCTACAACAGTGCTAAATTAAAATGAAAGCTCCACATCAATTCTCAGCTAATCAAAATTAACATTAAGGCAGTAAGCACAAACAGAATGTCATGTTCAAGTGGGCAATTGAAGAACTATTTGAGGGTGAAAGACAATTAATGTAATGCTGGTGTAAGGCTCTCATTTTTAAATACTAATATTGGCACATCCAGAAATTCTAGACCACCAATATCTACAGAAAATATTTGGTTGCAAATTCAATGCTCTCCGTAAGCTTTATATGAACGCAAGAATGGCCATACTGGGTCAGTGTAAGCTTTATATGAACGCAAGAACGGCCATACTGGGTCAGACTAAAGGTCCACCTCGTTCAGTATACTTTCTTCCAACAGTGGCCAACGTTAGATGCCCCAGAGGAAGTGAACAGAACAGGAAATCATCAAGAGATCCTTCTGTCATCAATTTCCAATCTGAACAAACAAGAGACTATGAACACCATTCCTGGCTAATAGCAATTGATGGACCTTACCCTCCATGAATTTATCTAGTTCTTTTTTTAACTCTGTTAAAGTCCTTATCTTCACAACATCCTCTAGCAAGGAGTTCCACGGGTTGACTGCTCTATGTGAAGAAAAACTTCCTTTTATTTGTTTTAAACCAGCTGCCTATTAATTTTATTGGTGACCCTTTAGTTCTTCAGTTATGGGAACAAGGAAATAACTTTGTTCATTTTCTCCTTACCAGTCATGATTTTATAGACCTCTATCATATCCCACCGTAGTCTCCTCTTTTTCTAATCTGAAAAGTCTCAGTATTTTTAATCTCTCTTCATATGGGCCCTGTTCCAAACCCCTAATCAGTTTTGTTGTCCTTCTCTGATCCTTTCCCCTCATCCTGGCCGAAACATGGCTCCTCCTCACCCATGCTGCCACAGTCAAATACACTCAGCCCCGGAGCACGGTTCTTCCTCCCCCGTTTTGCCCACACACTCATAGCCTCTCCCCCAAAACAGTCCCACCTCTCTTCCTCACTTGCTTCCACCCAACTGCCAGATGGGGAGAGGAGGGACACACAATCAGGTAGGGTGGAGGTATAATTCAAAAAACTGGAGGGGGGGCACTGTTCTACTATCATGACATTTTCTATTATTCCAAGTGTTTTCTTTCCGTTGTTGCTATGTGAAAGATCTACACAAACAACAGGTAGCCCTCCTACAGGAAAAAAATGTGAAACAGTTTCAAATATACAAACTGCAAATAAACAAACTGCAACAATTTTCTCTGATCCTTTCACTTACCTTAGAGGTTACTAGTCACAAGAGCAGGTAAATAGTTTTCCAGACAGAAGTTTGATTTTTTTAGTCAACAGTGGCCCTTTAAATTGCAGAGTTATTTTTGCCAACTAAAGAATGAAGGAGCAAGGCCAGTGTTTACAAAATGAACATGAAAAGTCTGGAAAATGTAGCCATTTAACCAGTACCACATGTACTAAAGGTTTACATAGTGTACGT